TGATGATCTTTCACTCCCCACTCTCATTCCATTTTTTTGCGGATTTTCTTTTTTAAGCTCTTGTAGACTACAAGTAGTCTAACGCAGAATCAACGTAGAAATAGTTTGCGCAGGTGAAAAGAACCCAAAAATTCAACACGTTACCAGGAAACAACAATCCGCGAGTGGCGGTGTTTATGATGCGTGATCCAAATTAATCACAAGTGCGTTCGCTCTTATCAAAAGGCGTCATTGCGTTAGGTGCAGTTCATTATGACCTACTCAAAAGTATTGTTGTATTTCAACTGCAAAGTCGATTTGAATTAGATCGAGTATGTTTCAAACCAAAATTCCTCCTGCTATTCTCCTCCATAGATGATCTTCCAAATAAGAAGAGCAACAGCCAAGTGTACATTGGTCTCTCTTCTGACTTAGTACGATGCGTAAGAGACGAAATTGATAGTTTTTACTTGGTGGTTGTTCTCTATTGAACCATGTAGATCGTGTATCCGTTTACGTGTAAAATGCAACGTTCTGCATTATGCGATGGTAAAAGCGGTTGAGGCAAATGAACTGTCGGATTACAATTAACATGGTAACGATTGATAAAGCTCTTTAAAAAGAGCACTATGAACCATTTCCAGGTTAACTGCTGAATACTACGTAAACATGAACAACTCCGTTGTGAAACCTTGGTGAGTTGGTCGCTCATTCTATATTGCTATAGGCGGATTTAGTGATCTGCTCAAATGTTTGCGCCTTTTTCCGGCAGTGTTGAAAGGTGAGGTGAAATTTAATACTTTCAGCAGATAAGTACATGTGATGAGATGATGATGATGCACTTTTCCAAAATCAGGTAAGAGCACGGCTTTCTTAGGGCGATAAGGGTTTGCAGCAGTCACTTTTTGAAGACCACATTTACGTGGTTATTCAGAATTACCATGAGCTTGAAATAAACGTCGCTCTTATACTTCAAAAAGCTCTTTTAGCAACATAAAGATGGTAATCTAATTTAGGACTTTCTAAAAGCGAAATCTGCGCAAATCAAATTTTGGAAGTTACTAGTGACTTGATAATCTTTTAAGTCATATATATACATAAATATAAATTTAATATAAATATATATCGTTAAACAGCAAAGAGCTTCTTCTTATAACTCTACAGTTTTTCCTGCACGTAAGGATCCTAAGCGCTTAATTTCAAATTAACCACGGATTCGAAATTCTTAAACACCTCATCTTATGCTAGTTCAAGTATAGGCATAGGAGCTGGATCGTAGATGATAAATGACGCTGCGAAGCCTACTTAACATAGGTGTCCCAAACGTGCGCCCAAGTTTACATTCGGTGCTATTTCAAATGGCGCCACCCATGTTGTTATTTTGATCTCCCGAATGATGGGAAATTCGAACATAATATTCATGATGGAGTAAGAATGGAAATACGAAATGGCGACCGCGTCATTTCGCACAAGGATCCCTATTGGCTGCTTTAATCTTTGAAATCTATGAGAATGGAAAAATTACCGTTTCTTTTTGTGATTTAGGTCTGCGGCGGAGACCTACAGGAAACCTCTCTACCATAGTTCATACACCTTTTTTGTTTCTCTGACTTAACTCTATTAAAAAAAACTTTTCCATCCTAACACTTACACCACAATAACCAGAACAAAGCACTTCCTTTCCGCTTGCTGGAGCCCTAAATTTTTAGCCCGAAGGATACGCGCTCCGGCGCTGCAATACATGTCCTGTTTGCAATCGTTTTTATAGGTAATAAAGGTAGCTACGTAAATTACTAGATTTTCAAACGGGTATTCGTCCTCGTGAGATCCAAAAGGAGGCCTCGCGTAGAGGTCTACTGGTTTGAAATCATTTGCTAAAAAAATTTTGTTCCGCTATGAATTAAAGCATTTTATATCCGTCCCATTATGGTTCACAATTTGTAACTATTTTCATGGTTTATGTACTTATCGCTAGTACAAAACACTAGGAAGAAGTGTTTTTTTGTCTCGTCTTTAGAACAAGTCTCACTCTTAATGTTTATTAACCATTTTGGCCAACAAGCGGCGACGGCGATCACATTTCTTCCTCAACAGCTTTTCTCAGACTTCTCATTCACAGCTGTAAATGCAATGCTATGACGTGAAAACCTCATTATCCTGGGAAGATCTCATCGATTTATTGCTATGCTTAGAAAATCAAGTACTTTCAAATCCTAGATGAGCTCTACAAATTTCATATAGAACTAACGGTCGCTAAGCTCGTCATCATCAACGAACCCACTACTTGCACGATCACCTTGAGCATCCTCCAAAAGTCGCTTCTAAAATAGGTAGATTTTCGTCCGTGCTTCTCGCCCAGCATGCATTTCACCTTCTCTTCGTCCGAGGACTCTCCGCCTTTATGTGTGTCAGTATCTTCTTCTGTACTTTGCAACATCGTCGCGCAAGCAATTGCATTCAGGAACACGAGCAGCCTGCACTCGGAATTGGTTCGTTGGTACTTGACTTTTAACATCAAGAACCTTACCTCAAATAAGCATAAATCGATGGCATTGTGAAAGGATGATGTCCGTAGCCATTTTCACCACACTGTGACGACTATAAATAAAATGTTAGAGAGTATCTTCCTGTCGTTATAGCAAATATATCGGAGTTTTTGAATTTAATGCCTTAATATAGGAAATTCACGTAAAAGTAGTGAGCAATTGGTATAATAATATGCTGCAGTTGATGCAGTAAATTAGAAGGCTTTGATCGCAAAACTGAGAGGGAAGTCTATGATACCAGCAATGAAAGCGAAGGAAATTCCTACAAAGGGAACACCAAATTACAGATTGAGTTTAGGCTGACCTGATATGTTTTGAGTTTAGTCGATCCGAAACGAGTTGCAGCAAATGCTTGAGCTGAATAGATTTGTTCGTTGCGCTCTACCTGTTATTATGAGGAAACGTAGATGCACTGTTTGGTATGCAGAAGTCCACTACCTCAAAGTTTGGTTTGGCCACGGCCCTCTCGTCACGCTCACTTCCTTTTGGATAGGCGAATTCAACTCGAAAACAAGGGCGTCTGCGAGCGTCCGCGGTTTTACATGTAATGCGACGGCCGTTACGGCGATGTGTTTCTACAAACATTGTTTACTCGAATAAATTCAAGACTGACATCATCTTACCATTTGCAGCACCAGGAGCAGGATAGATGCATTTGACGTTTCCAGTGTCAGCATTTACCGCATGCACGGAGCCCTCTCGAAGTTCGAGCAAAAGGTTAGCGGGAAGTAACTCACTCAACTCACGAAGGGAGATGAAAGCGCATGATGCCGCCTAAACCAAAACATCATGTGCAAGTAAATGGGTGGGGGTTTAGGTACCCGTGATTTTCGCTGCAGCTGGCGCAGTGCCTGCAAGGCACATTCTTATTGTAATGCGCTCATTATCTCGCGATTATCCTACAGATACGTCGCTAC